TTTGCTGTGGCTGCTAAAAGTAACTTGAGCCTCCCTCCATATAGCCTTTGCAACAAGTTTATCAATGTATAAACTTCCTTCAGTATGACTTTGAGCATTGGCTAATCAATTGATTTAGTGAACGATTAATAGAGTTGATTAAAAAAAAAAAAAACCTGAAGGATGTGTCACGTAATTTTGTTTAGGACTATTCAATCTTTCTGCTATATGATATTTTATTTCTAACCAAGTTAATGGTCAAGTTTTGTGGTTGAGGCAATCGCATTTTGATAGTTTTTTTTTTGTTAAGGTCCGTTATTACTAGTTGATAATAATTATTTTGATCTACTTTGTTACTTGGTGAAGAAATATATGCCTCTCACATGCTTATTATACAGTTTGATTACTTTAAATTGCACTAATGATTAATTTTTAATTAATCTTAAATTAATAGTTAATTGTCACACATGCTCACCATTTTGGATTTTAACAAATTAATAACTGTTATAAACGTAAATTCTTCTACTACATGTCAAAATTGTTTAAAAAAAAGACCTTTCAATTGGCATTTCTGAAATGAAAATCAAAGACAACAGTTTCTGTGTGGCCATTAACAATGCATTTATTTACTTTCTGGAACTAAGGTGAATCATGCGACCACTTATTTCCATGAAGTAAAATCCTGTATTGTTGGCTCATGCAGTAACTTTTGCCTTTCATTTTCTTTCAGATAAAAGCACAGCAACCTCTGCAGGCTTCTCTCCAGAGAATCTTCAGCAGTGAGACCTTGTGGCCTTTGCTTGTTGTTTTACTGTATGCTTTTCTCAATCCTGGAATGGTTTTTCTGTCTTTTTTTGTGGCCTTGCTTTGTCTGGCTATTTTATGGGTTTTCAAATAGTTATGGTGAAAAGGCAGTGATGTTTTTCTCTCTAGCATCCAACTTTGCCACTGCAATATTTTGAAAGGTGACACAATTACTTAAAACTAGTAGTTTGTATTAGGGATATAGCATTTGAAATGCAAAACTGAATATCTTGCAAAAAGTTGACAACACAGCTGAAATTAGTGATTAAAAAGTAGTATTTATTTAGACCTTATTTACACTAAGCAACTCTAGATGTACATATAATTAAGCAATAGAACACATTTTTCTGGGCTTTCTAATTCTTTGCCTTCAGCTCATGATTAATTTTATGAGCTTTCCTCGTGTTCTCCAAACATCCCACTTGCTTTTATCACATCATAGAGCCGGGAAAAATGAGTTCTTATGCTTTTATGGCGTAACTAGTTAGATATGGGCTCTGTAACCTGATAAGCATCCACTTGGAAACTGAATTGAGCAATCAGAGGATGCTTAGTATGTTTGTTCATGTTATAAATGAATTTAGAAGCTCTATCCACAGTATGGAATCATGCTGTTCTCATGTAATTGATTTCTTCACCTGCCATTCCTTATCAAGTTTTAAAAAGAATAGTTGCAACAATTGTTTCATGACCAACATTTTAACTACACTAACAGCGATAATAGGGAAGAGAACCAACATTCTGTGCAATGTTTTAAAGATAATCAATATGCTAACTGATGGCATGTCAATACCTTGATTATAGTATAATTTCAGAGCTGAGCAAAGAGTTTCCAGCAATCTGATTGGTCGAGTGGTTCCTTATATGACGCTATATAAACCACTCCACGCAGTTTCTATAAAACGTTAAAATAAAATGTTAATGAATGTTACTAAAATGTTATGATTTTAGAAATTTCTCTGTTGTTCAGCTCTGAAATTATACTAAAACAGTTATTCACCTCAGGTTCAGGGAATATTGTCGAATATTCGACGATATTCACCTCGCCTTCGGAGAATAATTGTTAAATAGTATCGCATTTAACATTCAGTGACCTTACTATGCTCAGAAGACACTCTTGAGTGATTGACTTTATAGATTTATTGGCTTTGGTAAAACTATATTAGGAGGCTTCACTAATTTTTTTTTTTTTTCAAGATTAATGTTACACTGTAGCATAGCTTAAGTATTGATTTATCTTTGAAGAGTTTTCTGCGAAAGAATGTAACAAAGGTCAACATCATTAACCACTCTCCAATTTAACCATTAACTTTTCAAACCTAGTTTGAGACAATAAAAAAAAGATATACTCAGTAACCATAAAACGGTATTAAAAAAATTGGAATTGGCTGAACCAAAACCAGTTTGAAATTTACAGGGAACTCATTCAGTGAATAGTAGAGAGGATGGCTTGAACCAGCAAACATGAGATGATAAATCTGAAGCTCTTACCTTGTAGCTTAGCTGGATTGTCTAATTGACAGAAGTATATGTAGATTTTGTATTTACCTTTGGAACACCTTGACATTAAGGTAAAATTTTTTGATGAAGAACTTGTCTTTTCCCAAGTAAGTTTTGTATTTCTTTCTAAAATGCGAGATTTAAATTTGAGAATTACTTAATCACAACCTGAGATAACTTAAAAGAGAAAATATTAGTGAACAATTAGCAAATTATTAATATATTATTTTATTTAATGTATGGTGCATGCTAAGCAATGGATGAGGTAAGAATAGTAAGAAATAAACTGTCTGGACAAAGGCTCCTTAACCAAACTTTCAATTTTTTTGGACACAAACTAGCAGGGGGAACAGCTCTTTTTGGTCTCAAGTACTTACAATTTAATCAAGAAACTTCTATCTTGTTTTATTGACCATTCAAGAATTCTTTTTTTCTGTTTCTTTACTTGACATAGGGTTTGTATTCTTTCTAGTATAATCATAAGAAAGTTACCAATTTAAGAGTTAAACACTTTGGATCTCTAAAATTTATTTCTTGTAGTGACTGTTTTTATTAACTGAAAAATTTCCTTGAAATCTGTTATTAATATTATTTTTTGTCTTTCTGAATTTCTTCTGGTTAGGAGCTGCTTTTTTATTTTTAAAAGTCTAGTAGTCAATGGTCAATGTATAGAATCTAAAGGTTATATTGTTATTAATTTATGATCAACACAGTCATTTAAGATCTTACAAGGTAAAGGTTTTAAACCAGTTAATTTATTACATTTTGCTCTATTGTTGAACTGTAATTTATTCAAAGATAAGGAAAAATATTTTTGTTAAAGTTTTTGATTATAGCACAAAACATCACAGATAAAACAGAACTACATATTAAGTTATAAGTAAGAACTTAATCAAGAGCAAACAATTGCTTGTATTATGTAAGTTAAATATTTGCCAAAATTATTATTATGGACTTATTTTTATGTAGATAGTTGTGCATGACATTGGTTTGATGTCACAAAAAGAAAGGAGTTTTTTCTTTGCCCTGTGCTCATGAAAAAATTCATAACAACAATTTGTCTTTGGAATGAAACTTTGACATTACTTGCTAAAACCGTAGGCTTCTGTAGCTGCCATTTGTTGAAGTGTTTGTAAAGATGATCATTCTGAGATTGTGTAATGGAGAAGTTGATTGAAAAGGTTATGATCACATTATTTATTAATGCTGTTGTAGAATTTCAAAAGTGAAAATAAATTGAGAACCAAATGGCACATAAAGTGACGCTTTGTGTTTCAGCTTTGCTAATGAAGAACATTAGAAAGTCTTCCCAGTAGTTGTTAAAATTTTAGTTACAGTGTGATTTCTATAACACTTTCTTGATTTAACATCATTAGGAATGCCATTTAAACAACTGGATTTTTTTTTCCTCAAAATTCTCACTCAAAACAGGAATGGTCTAACTTGGAAGAGAGTTTAGATATCCTACTCAGTTTTTTTTTTTTTCAGCTTTGGAGACTGTTTTGCACTTTATTCTGCTTCCTTCACTTTAGGCTTGCACCGAAATGTTGGCTCAAACTTATTTTTCTTAACCCTATACACCCTAACATCAGTATGCATATTCTCCATACTGTTCTCTATACATTTCCTAAGGTGCTGACAAGGAGAATTTGTTTAACAATCAAGGTTTTTTATTTGGTGATCATTTCCTTTATTCTCCTGATGTTACTGTGTGATTCAGAGGTGATGTTGTAAGGAGAAATGATATGTTAGTCACTCATTGGGGTTAATGACTTTGTTTTAAAATCAAGAGCTTCTTTAGTTAGTGATCATTTCTTTTATTCTCCTGACCTTATTGTGTGATTCAGGGGTGATATTGTAAGGAGAAATTAGATGCTAGTCACTGTTAGGGGTCAAAGGGTTCTGCTCCTCTTGAATTTTATATATTTTTATTACAAATCCTGTAACCAGTTAACTATAGATTTTCTCTTAGTTTTAATATATAGACTACTGTAAATAGCTCCCAGTCTTTTTTCTTTTTTATTGTCCCCAAATTAGTGAGGGATTTTTCCCTAACTAGACGGCTCTTGACACTTTTAGTAAAGTTTTACTAGTACTGCTACTGCTACTGCTACTGCCGCTGCCGCTGCCGCTGCTGCTGCCGCTGCTCCTGCTGCTACTGCTACTGCTACTGCTACTGCTACTGCTACTGCTACTGCTACTACTACTACTACTACTACTACTTTCAGTGAGCTGTTCGTCCTCTTGTATCCCTGTGCATCAGTGAGCTGTTCGTCCTCTTGTAGCCCTGTGCACCAAAGAAATCAAAATCAAGTTTATCTATAAAGTTTGAATTAACCCTTTTACTCCTTTACTTCTGCTGGAAGTGATTTACGCATACTTTCCAAACATTATCCAGCCAACAGGTAATAAGAATACTCAAACTTATCAGGTAGAAGTTGTTACTTTGATCTAGAACCAAATTCTCGTAACTTATTTACAAGGAAATGTGTGGCAGCCAGAGGGGAGAATTAACAATCAGTTCTTGGAAGTTAAAGGGTTAACACCGATCACATTTTATGAAAAATCACTCCAGGATTTCGACAATGCTTTCCCAATTTCATAAATTTTCAAGCATTTGTTTGTTTCCGTTTGTATAAGTACACCGCTGCATGAACTGCGGCGATATCAATAACTGTGTCATCCCCTACAGTTAATTTTTATTTGATTTCGATCAGGAATTCTTACAAATTGAAGCTGAGCAACGGAGAAAGAAGGAAGAAGAGGAACGGCAAATCGAGGAACGAAGAAGTGCTGCAAGGAAGTTGCAGACACAACATGAAGAAATACAACAACAGCGACAGGCAGAGGTCAGAAGGAAAATGGAATCCAAGAATGCAACTCCTGACCAAAAGTGAGAATTATTACTGATTATTATTTTGGTGCAAGCTACTTTCTTATGTTATGGAATCTCTTGGGATTGAAAGGGTGAAAAGACAAAACACTGATGACAATTTCGTGAAAATTAATGGCTTTCATTATTAACCAAGCGTGAGGTCAAGATGGCTGGATATTGGCCGAGTTCTTTCGTCTTGGTCCATAAAAATGCGAGAAAAGAACGAGCCTAACATCCAGCCATCTTGACCGAACAAGCTTGGTTAATAAAGGATTTATTATGGTACAAAAAGATTTCGCTATATCAAGAATTAAGAATGACTTGTTTCGTACGAGAGCCGGGAAAGAAAGCCAACTGTGTTTGTAGCACAACAAACTTACGACGGTCGTTTCTGTTTTCTTTGTTTGACTATCTTCGGCCGCTTTTTGCGTTTCCATCGCCGACAAGTTCTAATTCAATTTTTTTCATGCCCGGGATCAATGCGAGTAATCCCGAGTGGCACGGGTAGCCAATCAGAATACGGGATTCGCTTCATCTTGCCTACGGGTGCTGCGAATGATGTAATTAGAGACATTTATACTTAATCTGAGTGACTGGAAAGATTTCATGAATGACTATTAACAACAAGGAAATTTACAATACGTCTTGTAATTTGTTTGTCTACAAATGTGTGAATCTTTCATTGATGTGTAGTTTAATGAATGGAAAGGATTTATTTGTGTATCAATGTTTTCTCTTTAGAAAACTCTCCTCTTCATTTGGTGGCAGAGATAGTGTGAAACCTCCAGTTCCCAATCGTCCAACTTACAAAGTCTTGACTCGTACAGGCTCAGCAAAAGAAGCAAGGTAAATTTAACAAATCGAAGGTGGATAAGTGTCGTCTGTACTCTTATGGCCAACGATATTCGTCATCGAAGTGGTCAAAATGTTGTGGACTCGCGAGTTGCAGCCGAGTGAGTCCGCAAACGGTTCTTTCTGTGCGTGACACGTTGACGCGAGCAGCATTGTCTGTTCTCTTGTCAACAACAGCAAATTGACCAATCACGTTGCGACATTACTGCCAATTGTGGTACAAATAGTGGTAGAGCGAGAGAAAATTAGTCTCCCTCGCAGCCGTTTTTAGTCTCCTCACACAATGCTCCTCCCCCACAAACTCCTTTGTAGAGAGAAGCATTGCGTGACGAGACTAAAAACGGCTGCGAGGGAGGCTAAGAGAAAATGAGAGAACAGAAAGAGAAGGTTTAGGTGTAGGATTTCAAGTACAGCAATTTCAACTAACCCTTTACACCCTAACATCAGTATGCATATTCTCCATTACTGTTCTCTATACCTTTCCTAAGGTTCTGACAAGGAGAATTTGTTTAACAATCAAGAGCTTATATGTGCACGATCCTTCGCAGTAAAGCACTATTTGAGCAATAGTGAAAATCAGACCTGAAAAAAATTTCAGGCCTGTACGGGATTCGAACCACTGACCTCTGCGATACTAGTGCAGCGCTCTACCAATTGAGCTAACAAGCCAACTGGGAGCAGGCCATCAAATTAATTCGACATAAACCCGTAGATGATAAATCAAACAACAACAAACATATGAAACATATGTTTCATATGTTTGTTGTTGTTTAATCAAGAGCTTCTTCAGTTGGTGATCATTTCCTTTATTCTCCTGACCTTATTATGTGAATCAGGGGTGATATTGTAAGGAGAAATTAGATGCTAGTGACTCTTAGGGGTTAAGGGGTTAACCATCAAGAGGGACCAGGATCTAATTTCTCCTCAGAGGTGACCTTCTGAGTCGTTCATCATTCACTTGTTCTCCCTTTGATAATTTTTTTTTTTAAACTTGTCATGCGTTTTATACATGAGCTTCTGGCTCGGATGTGAGGGCAGCGTCATCCCACGTCATGACACTTATAAACTGATTGATTGTGTTAATTGACTTCTTTTTTATTGACTTTTTTTAGTACCCCTCCAATGGAATCGCCTGATGTTGCATGGAACAGACAGGTAATGAATCATTCCTAGGTTGAAATATTACTCTAACCTAACTCCAGTCAGGCCACATGATTTAAATCACAAACATGTGTCTTAGAAATGAAAATAATTCCGCTGAAAAGTCTGGAATAACGTTTGAGGTACGCAATAATGACTTCGAGTTAAATAACAGCGACTGATTATTAGATAAAATTGATTTTTTTTTTTTTTTCCAGGAAGAAGAGCTCAGAGCACGCAAAAGAGAGCAGCTCATGCAACAGAGTAGAAGAGAAGCTCAACTTTCTAGGTTGAGATTTGAAGAAGAACGGATGAAGGTAAGAGATTCAATTTTCTACGTGTAATCATTTCATCATAAAAGTTATCAATTAAGGGTAGCTGTTTGATTTGGTGTGATTTTACGGGGAACCACGTTTCAATCAGTTTGCTTGTTTTTTACTTTTTATTCTGATTGGTTCGTTGTGATGTGTTCTTTTTCTCTGATTGGCTATTATGATTACTTTCATAGAAGTGCGCGTTTAGTGCTATGAGGTCAAGGATAAACAAAACCTCAACTGTATTAACTGTCTTAGGGTTAATTGCAGAAATGCGAGGTGGATGTAGATCATAATGATTTGCGCGTGTTCCAGATATTTTCAAAGAGATTTATGCAGTTTTGTTAATTCCGTTTGAATTGCATTGCAGCGTTCTTCCCTTTCAAGAGATGGCTCAAGTAAATCGGTAAGATGCTAGTGTTTTTCTCAATAGTTTTCTCTAAATTTTTATTTTTGACATAACTGTCTCGTTTAACACGTAATACTAATAATAATAATTGATGCAGGAGACGGGACCTACGGTTTATTCGTCCTTATCCGAGAAGACTAGAATGTCTATCCATTTCTTATTAAAGAAAGGTAGCGCATTCTCCTCAGCTATTTTAAGACCTTGAGTGTTGGTCCGGCCGGGGCTCGAACCATCGACCTCGACCTCCCGCACAACAGTCCAGCGGTGTAACCAATTGAGCTAACCGTATCACGTAGAGAAGAATAAAGAAGGACAAAGCTTTCAATATTGTATATATGGACAATTTTTTACCCTTGAGTGCTATCATCTTGGTAGATCAGCCTAAACATAGGCTCGATTTCCGCCACTCTCTCGAGTCTGGTGTTTTTCGTTCTTCCCCGAGAAGAGTGCGGGGAGGAGCGCGGGCTCCGGTTCGCGAACAGTGGCTGGTAATCGAGCCTACCATAAATAAGACTCTCAGGGGTAGAATGTGTTAGAGTTTGCACTTCCTCTACAATTCAATAGGGTTCTTTATCAAAGCAAACACCTCAAGATACTTTGCTTACAAATGTCACAGCATAGTCAGTGGGTCTCATCTCGGGGCCTCAGTGGACAACCTATGACACTCGGGCCACTCATTGAATAGGATGTGACGGGAATGTACAGATAGTTGGGGTTGGAGGAAGCTTGTACACGTTGTTGCTTGAATAACGGGGTCACGGTGGGGGCATGGAAGCAATTATGACCCAAAAACGTGGTCTAAGCGCTGCTGGCTTGATCCCCAGGATGCAAGTGCCCTTCTGCTAGTATTCAAACTCTCTCTTAGATGATAACACCTTTTAGAAGTTTTTAAGTGGTTAAAAGTGAATGAGGCATTCAGATGATGAACACAAACTCCCAAGTTGTCGGAGATGTGGCTGTCTTATAAGTGTGTCCTTAAGGAGAGAGTGGATAGTAATTTGCCACTTGTTGTTCGATTCATTTTGTAGAGATTTAGTGGCAAAACCAGTGCTGCAACTGTTTCTTTTAATGGCAGTGAAGCACCCTCCCAAACTGATGGCGGTTTGCAAGACAGGGAGACTTGGGAAGTAAGATACCGCACCGAAAGAAATGTGATACTGTTTTGTCTCCTTTTGAGTCCTCTCCTCCCACCTCCCACCTCCCACCTTCCCCCTCCCCCTGTCAAAAAGCCATTGTTATTCATCTTTTAAACTACACAATCATCACATGTACACGGAATTCGTTGCGAACTGTTTCATGAAAATATTAGATATATTGATCGTGATGTTTGTACAGAGACATTATACACCACCTAGGCACCAGCCCTTATTGACCCGCGGGAAAGTACCAAACAGTCAGTGGTCTGCAAGGAGTCTAGGACCTCGTTATTAGTGCCAAATCCCCGAACCCTCTCCTCGACTCGTCTCCAATCTTTCCACGGGCTGAGACACGTTTTTCCTACTGCGCAATTATTGAGGGTTCGCCAGCGGACTAGACTTGCGAGTGACTAACTCACTTTTGGAAATTGTACCTCCCCAAGAATGTTACTGTCACCATGTGATTCCTCAGTAGTTGTTTATTTTCTTCGGCCTTTGACTCAGTTTAAAATAGTTTATTTGACACAAGATGGAAACAACGTTGAGGTCTGAGACCCCCATAAGAATTCGTACTTCGGACTTTACCACCAAGCTACAAAGACACTTGTTTGTTGATGAGCAAGGCCATAAATTAGGTTTATATGTCACATGCGTAGCCGACGACGAAGCCCAAAGCGTTCCCTCTTTCTTTATGTATTTATAAAAGTCCTTTTTTTCAGGAATTGGTATACTCGAATATTCAGACAAGACAGAAAGCGCCACAGGTCCGATCTTGTAAGTATAGGGGAAGTGTTGTCGGATCATTTCTTTTTTTAATTACTGTTTATTAGAAATCCCAATTCCACATCTGATCACAGGGGTCGTTGATGAAAATTCCGCGATCGTAGCGATCACGTGAAAACTAGGCCGTAGAGTCCTGTTAGAATTCACGTAATAAAAAGTGATATTTCTGTATTTTCAGTACCAGCGACTTTCAGAGACCAAAACAATCCGAATTTTACTATAAAACGAATGTACGACAGTGCTCGAGAGGAATTTGAACAACTGGAAAGACTTAGAGAGGTTTGTTATAATCCAATTCCTCGTATTTCCTTCTCTTCTCTCGTAATATGGCGCTATATGAAAAGTTCTAACTTACGGAACCCCTTATGGCAGAAATTCTCGCGTGTAGGGTTTTAAGAGCAGTTTTCAACTGAGTGTCGAAAAACCAAAGTAATCTCAGCAACCAATCAGAACAAAGGTTTACGTTATCATTAGCCAATGAGAAATCAAAGCGAAACAAGCAAACTGCTTGAAGCGCGGGAAAACGCGGGCGACCAATTCGTGATTGTCTGTAGTTTTGTATTTGATTGGTTGAAAGGATGGCGCGAGTTTTCTGGACCAATCACAGAGCAAAGTTAAGTAACGCTATAGCAATCGACACTTAAATTGAAAATTGCTCTGTGGTAACAAACATATTTCAGAGAACGGCTGAGAAGGAGACCACATACGATGTACTCGTCATTCATAACATCGCCTCCTCTTCTGATTATTGCAGGGTATCGAGAGCCGCCTCAAGGTGGCTTTACCGGATGATCTGCCTGCATCATTGGCCGACGGAGTTGTTCTGTGCCATCTCATAAATCACATAAAGAAAGGGCTGATCCCCAGTATCCATATTCCTTCGGCAGGAGTGGTAAGACAAGATTTGAGATACGTTAACTCTTTTTATAGTTTAAACACCCTAACATCAGTATACATTTCTCCATTCTATGCTCCATACATTTCGTGAGGTGCTGACAAGGAGAATTTGTTAAACAAGTAAGAGCTTTTTTTAGGTAATGATTATTTCCTTTATTCTCCTGACCTTATTGTGTGATTCAGGGCTGATTTGTAAGGAGAAATAAGATGCTAATCACTCTTAGCGGTCAAAAAGTTCGAGTTCCTTGTTAAAGAGAATTTGATGTAGTACCACTATGACACTCTCTTTTCGTGTCTTGGGGAGTTACAAAATAAGCACTCATCATGTCAGTGTGTCCTGAAGTCTCTCTCCAAAATTCTTCTTCTAATCACTCAGTTTTGTTTGCCTCGCAGCCCAAACTTACCATGCCAAAATGTCAGAAAAATGTGGATTATTTTCTAGAAGCGTGCAGAAAGCTTGGAGTCGACAAGGTAATTAACCGTTATTCCACGAGCGCGCGTTGGATATGAGATGACAGATAGCCAACGAGGCGCGTAGCACCGAGTTGGCCATAATCATCTCATATCCAACAAGCGCGAGTGGAATAATTGTTTTATTAAAAACGCCCCCAAGATATAAGACAAATCTTACCAAATCTTAAATTTTTTAGCTCCCTTTTAATTTTAAGTTGACGCATACGCTTACCATATTTGAAGATTATGGTATATTGGCTAATATACCATAATGGCTAAGCCAATAAAAAGTCTTGAATTGCATTATCCAACGATCCAGTTTTTAATAATACACGTCATTGGTGATGTTTACACTTATCAGTGGAATGCTTTTGTTGTGTATGTGAGTGATTCCCTGGCAAATAAATCCACACATTCTCTATAGTTTGAACAAGAAACATTTTTTCAAGTGTGGTCGAATTAATTACATTCTGTCACCATCAAGTACGTTTTTGTTTCTCGTTAGGTGACTTATTATTCAAACTGGATGCTTTTTGGAAAATAGAAACTGCGGAAAGCAATGGCCAAAACAAAAACTGAACTATCAAAATAGCAATTCAGCCAATAGCCCATTTCCGAATTACCCTTGGCTTCATTTTCAAAATGAGTCCTGGTGCTCATCCTTTCATATGATTATAAGTTTTTATTGACATGCAAATTAAACTCATTTTCATAGGAATGGTAGAGCACCAGGCCTCGTTTTGAAAAAGAGGCCAAAAGTAATTCGGAAATTGCCTATTGTATTTTGCATTTTGTTACAGTGTAAGAAGTTGTCGAAGGGTACAAAGATCAAACATTCAAAAGTATTACTAGGGTGAAAAGTGCGAAAAACAAACTGAAGCTCAAATGATTACTGTACTGGCTTGAATGTTTCGCGCTTTAGGTAGCCCGCAAGCAGGCTGTCATGAGCTCTTCCGTGTGCACTTCGAATCCTGGGATTTTCGAGTCGGCGAACAAAGCGAGCGTGCGAGGAAAGGTCTGGCACGAAAATTGCTAGACCACCCGCAGGCCTCTCACGGGCTTCGCTCCTCTTGCTATCGCGCTGATGAGAAGCCACTCGAAGCCTGTGCAGTTCACATTTCCTAGCGTAATCCAGCGCATGAGTTCATAGAGGTCGATGATTTGTGACTTACATTCCTAAAACCAAACTTACTTCCGCTGAAACAAAATCTCACCGAGCATTCTGAAGCAATTCAAGTCGACAGCAACAAATTCATTTTATTCTTCTTTTTCGTTTTGTAGGATAAACTATGTACACCATCCGATATCCTCGAGGAGAAGAGTCCGCTACGTGTTTGTCAGACGGTAGAATCTTTATTGGAACACGCTGATGGAGGAATTTAACAACACCGACCCAGTCAAACAAGAATTTGGGTGATTTGAAATGTTGATGATTGAATTTCAGAGCTGCTCCAGCCGTTTCTCAATCCAATGCAGTAACAATATTTAAAGGAAAGAAGAAAAACTTCTGATGTGTTGGTGTACTAAAAGTTACTTTGGAAAGACATATATCACTAAAACTTGTACAGGGAATTTACCGATGGTAGTTTGTAGGCTTTGAACTAAACGAAGCAATCAGATTGGATCGTCTTTGTGACGTAAACTTTATGTCAAAATGAACTATTGAGAGTTCCCTTTTTTTCTTTTGTTTTTTTTTGTTTTTTTTTGGGGGGGGTGGGGGTTCTCCAGTAATATACGCCCCTGAATTGTATTCCCGCTCAAGATTCTTGGAGTATCCATTTTTCATATTTCTTAAAGACTCTCGATAATTCAGGTTAGCCTTTGTGTATAAATAACACTACACGTGTATGAAATTATGGAATAACCAGTTGATTCGAATCAAACTCGGTCTCTCTTTCCTTTAAAGGCATTTTACGGAACATGTTTTGCGCGTCTTCATTGCGTATAGTATAACTCGTACATGGCGCGCACTCTTGGCGGTTTTCCGTTCTCTATCCTTTTTTTTCAACGAGTAATCACGTGTCTTGTCATTGTTAGTCTTATATTGAATCGAACAGTGACATTCCTTTTGTAAATCGGTATAAATCATATCAAATAATCATTACGACGGAATCTTGCATTATCCTTGGAAATGTGTAAACCACCCTCTCTCCTTTAAAATTCCCTCCCCCTTTTTATAATTTAAAATTTTAAGTTTCTTTTGAGTAAGAAAACCAATGTGCAAAGTCTGACAAAGTCTCCCCAAGGTTCTTTATCCAAAGAATGAAATACAAGATGACTGCCAAGAATTCTTTTATGTATTTTTGCTTTTTTTAATTCCCTTGGAGGCAGTGCATCAAATCGAAGTGGGGAGGAAAGTAATCAGATTTATAAATGACGTTTAGACCGCTTTGAAAACGCTACTAGTTAGTGGTGTAGCATTATTTTGGACTCGACGTAATAAAACATTTTTGGCCATTTAACTAATTGTTGTAAAAATAGAGTAATAATTTTTTAGAAAACAAGTAACAACACCAACATAAAAGCGTAGTTTGAGGTACCATGTTTTCCTGAATGGTGAAAGGGCCAAGTCACCTGCAGTTTATTTTGAATGTAAAGGCACTCATTTTGAATTTTGTTTCTTTTGCCCAATCTGCATTGAGGAGGATATGGTAACAGGATAAGTAAATGTAAAGCTGAAAATTCATCTTCTTTATGAGATTAACTACAGAATAAATCACAGAATCATTACCTGATAGTTAAAAATTGTTTTCCCAAGCATAACCTACCACAACCTACCGTAGTCTGGTTGATATTTTCTAAAATTTTGCAAATAATTATTCATATTTAATCCATTGAAAATAAAACTTGTAATTCAGTATTTATTGCCCTTAGTAAGGAACCTTTCTTATCTACGGGAAGTCATTCTGTTCTTTTGGGCAGAAGTTTTGGGTCATCACAGAAGGAAAGGCTGTAATGAAATACGTAATGCACTGCTACCTGACAAAGCATGTGGGCTGTAGATCTACTCAAGCTATTCCATCTAAGCTGTCAGGCCTTAGTGGTGTTAGCTTGCATGACATGCTCTCAAAGGAGCAGCAGGGAGGAGAGTGGAGGGGGGAAAGAGCTCACATTGCCAAAATCTTCAGAGAGTAGTAAAAGACCTAAGAACTGTGGGTAGACCACTGGTAATTAGATTACACTGAAATCCCTCATGCCTGTATTATTCCATTGCCAAAACCAAAAGGAGATGTTTCAAAGACTCACAAGCCAAATCTCAATTTGACCTTGTAGCAGAAACGCTTAATACAAGACCACTGCTTTTAAAAGAAAATGTTCAACAAAGTTCTGACTGACAAAAGAGAACATAAGAAACGAGAATCAATAGGAAACTGAATTTATTTATTCCACATTATTCCCATCAATGAGCAGTTTCTTCACTGCCCTTTGTTGCTCTGGTGTAAATCAGCTGTGAATGATGTTTTGACACCTCTTTGATCAGGCCCTTAGAAAGCAGTTCCTGCAATCCACGACGAGCCAGGGAGCCTCGGATCTTCAGCCTTTCAGACACGACAGAGGGAGTGATAAGCCTGTAGCTGGGGACTTCTTTGTAAAGTTTGTCATATGTGGCTTTGTCAAAGAGGACCAAGTTGTTCAGCTTGTCCCTGACTTTTCCCTTGGACCACTTCTGCAGGTTTTTAAGGAGAGAAACTAACAATTCATTGCAACCCTTCACTCCCAGAACTTCCCCCAATAATATTGATACGCTATCCAGCAAACTGGTAGTGAAAATACATATATCTTATTAACCAAGCCCAAGGGCCATACTGGGAGAATATTGGCCCGAGGTCTTGACAGTATGGACCAAGCGCAGTGAGGTCCGTACAAAAAAGACAGAGGGCTGAAACTCTTCCAGTAC